TTTACAATATTTGCATTAAACTTGTGAAAATAAATTCCATACAAAACAGTCAAATAGTCTTTTCAGCGAAAATTAATTCCAGGTAAAATAAAGTATTCTACAGTACTGCATTTTACCACAAGCCACATTAAATGTTTAGAATGATGTGCCCATCTTTTCATTATAACAATTTAATGCTGAGGCCCTCCGATCAAACACAAGTACCTGTGTACTACATCTTTGCTAGCCAAGGTCTAAGTTTATTCGGCCAAGCCTGTAAAAGACCTTGGCAGAACGACCATCAAATATGCGTATTCTAACAGCGCCCCAGTAGTCAGTTGCGGCTAATTGTTGTCCAATCAGTTTGTGTGTCACAAATCCCTCTTTGGTGTTTCATTTTAAACAAAATGGCGGCGCCCATAAATCGTGATATTTGTGATGATAAAATTGCAAAAGTTTACGGTATTGGTGCCCTTAAGCCTCATCAGGTACAGGCAATCAACGCAGTTTTGTGTGGGAAGGATGTCTTCATAGCGACAAAAACAGGAAGTGGAATTTTGTTTTATAATTTAGTACCTCTAAGCTGATTGGGCGCCTTGTTTCGAGGCGCGTCCAATCAGATCTCACTGCTTAAGATACGCAATTAGCCTAGGCGATCCCGCACGGTACCGTGTAGAGGCCTATAGGTTACAGACACGGGACTGTGCGATTCGGACAATGGTGTACTAAGGTTCCCCCAAAGTCGCATCCGTTAGTGAATAAAGTAGGGGGGTGGGTTGATCCTGTTTTGGTGTTCAACACTAAAACATGCGAACACATTGAGAACATTAACATGTGTGATGGACTACGGGCAAACACTTTTATCACAGATATCTTGCAGACACTGTAATTCTTGCAATTATTACATCACACTTCCCACTGCCAGTAGACTAGATACAGACTTTAATAATAAGATTTTGAAAATTCTATGAATACGTACGGGTGTCAGTCTGTGCATGCGAGTTACCATGGTAATGTACTGAAGTTATGGAGACGGCCAATCAGTGATAACACTAATCGTTACAAAGCGTAATATGTAGATTATGTAGTTACACAGAGATTCAATGGGCCGTTCTTTCGAGTACTTGGAATGTCTGGATATCATAATTTTGCATTTATTACTGTAAAATACTTTATTTTAGCTGGAATTAATTTTCGCTGAAAAGACTTTTTGGGCGTTTTGTATGGAATTTATTTTCACTGATTTTTCGCGAGTTGAATGTAAAATATAGGAAAAATGTTATATTTGCTGGATTTCATTTTCACTGAATCATTCTTTCAGCAAAAATAGCGAAAATTAATTCCAAGCGAAAATAAAGTATTTTACAGTATATCAAACATCCTATTGGTAAAGGCTGCAAACTAAATTTAGCGGATACAAGTGGATTAAAGCGAGAGGGTCGTCACCTGTACACGCTAAAAAGGCAAAGGCATGGGTAGACGCTTGTTTGTAAACAATGACACGCTATGGCCATCTGACGCATGCGCAGACGACGACTCCCCCGCTTTAAAACAAGTAGACTATTACTACTTACCTAGGTTTTTATCATCATCTAATAGATTCTGAAACTCAGCATGGAAAATTTCCAAGTGTTTTTCTATAAGTACACGCTCACATGTTTTTGCTAATTCGTCCTGCGTACTTTCATGCAGGTAGACCTGCACACGACGCTGTTCCTCTGTCAACCTTGATTCTGCCTGGTGACAAAATAAAAGTAAACAATTATACTGCCCTCTGGTGACAAGAACTTACGTATTTTGAGGTTATTACAGAGAATGCACCAAGGAATATGGTGAGGGTATTCACAGGGGTGGGCATTCTGCTGTTCCTCTGTCAACCTCAATTCTGCCTGGTGACGAAATAGAGTAACATACTTCCTTCATATGTGGATTGTGTCAAAGCAAAATGAATGTGACATAGCTTTACCCCCGAGAATACACCAACTCATAGAAGATATCAATATAATCTCTGAGTGTACATTATACGATATTTTAATTTCATTCAATGACCATAGAGGACACCCCTAATTAATATTATTCAAAAGTCAGAGGTCATCCTCATTAAAACCATTCAATGACCATGGAGGTCATCCTCATTAAAACCATTCAATGGCCATGTAGGTCATCCTCATTAAAACCATTCAATGA